CCATCTGAAAACAAATATAAAGAAGTATCCCTTTAACAAGCACATATATCCATAGAAAAGGGGGTGGGGGGGTTACGTGTACCTTTCCAACCATTAACATTAGGTGGCCAAAGGGTACAGGATGTTTTCTCCCGTTTCTCTTTTCCAGATTATTATTGACAAGCAGCCAAATTTTCCATGAGAGAAAGAAATGAAACAAGGAAGGTCTTAGGCATTTAACCAAGAAATGTTTTACGGCCCAATTTCATGAAGTGGGACAAAATGCACAGAACATGTTACGATCATTCAAGTACATCCTATCACTGGCAGCAACGCCCGGGATGTCGTATCCTTTGAATGATGGGTGACTGTAAAGAGACAGTCGCGAATTCGGATGATGAATTATGAAGGGCGAGTACTCTTGAGGAAAGCAAGATGGCGTTCGTTTTTTTTGGATGAAGGAAAAGTTTCTCTCCTAGGGGCTCAGGTTTTCGTCATACCGCCCTATCCAAGCATCCTTATTTACCTTCTAACAGGGTTGTCATGACCACGACGGCAAATTGACACATTTAAGTTATAAACTTAAATGTTCTGAACTATTCTTTAGTTCATGATTTGCAAGGCTTCTCTGAGAACCATGCCATATATTGCACTTCAACTTTAGTTATATTTTCTGGTGAGTATTGCTAAGTTCGTGTTCAGCAAGATACAGAACTGGTTTTGGAAGGCCTGTTGGAAGAAAAATAATTGATACTCTCCTATGACCAGAATTGTAAGTTTTAGTACAATCCCAATTATGATGAGTAAACAAACTGATTGATAGGAAAACGTGAAATTGAGTGAATCTGCTGGCAGAAGGCTCTATATCGTGACTAGGCATTACTTTTAAGTACTTGTATTTTTCCTTACTTAAAGTAAACTTGAGTCCCAAGAGTAGACATCGCTCCTTGGGCAGTTCTCAGTGAGTTTGATTATGGGTGTTCATTGTTTCTTGGCTGTGAGTAAGGAAAGGTACTATTTCGACATGATAAGAGTTCACTTCATTCGCCGCTAATTTGAAGCCTTTGCCAAGATGAAGGTTCCTTTAAACTATCTATAATTGACTAAAACAGATTCAGTACTTGAAGTAATTAAAATATGACAATAGAATGGTTTGGTTCTTGAAGTATCTATGGTTCCTTTTGTGATCAGCAAATTCACGTTTTCAACCTTTTCTTGCCCATCAATTTGTTTTACATGTTTTCAAGCAGCGGGTAGCACTATCACAGCCGTTGAGGAGGTATGTGAATCGCACCTGTTTTTGTTATTGATACATGTAACAAGAGTCAGTACATGGACTCAAAACGGGAAGCATCGGTACACAAAGTAAAAAGGAAATTGTACTCGAGAAACTTATGAAATTTGGAACTCAAATTCATCATTATATAATTAGTATAATTTCCTTCACATAAAGTTTCAAGTCCAGGTAAAGGTTGAACCACCAACTGGGAAAAAAAAAGTAATATTAGTGATGCTCTCAAGTGAGCAAAGAGAGGGCAGTACTCCTCTACTGGGCAATGCAGTTATTTGTGTCAAGGAGAGGTTTCCTCTGACAGTGTTTCGGAAGTCCTCCACGGTGTCGAGGAATTTGAAGATTGTTTTTGGTTTATAGGAAGACGATAGCAAGTCACTGGTCACTCAGTTGGCGGTTAAGCAAAATAGGTACTTTTGGTTGATCGCCGAAAAAAAAAATTTGCCCAATTAAAGGTTTACTGAAGGGATTGTTACTTTCTATGAATCGGCGACAAATTAATTCATGATACTTCAATTCTCTTTAGCGGGAGACTTGTTATTCCTTTATTTATATGCTACTCTTGCTTTATTAATGACGAACTCAACAAATAAAAAGTTTGTCTCTAGGTCAAGCATGCTCAACAATCCTGAAATGAAGGCTTTCGCCATTAGTTCATGCCATGCAGTCTGGTGCCAGTATTTGCAGATGGCACCAGGATGAATGGTCTCAGAGCAAGTACCTGGGACATTGATTGGGATGTCTTCTCTATTTGAAAAAAAAAATATCGTGAAAGAAGTACACGAAATTAGAGGAAAAATTTTTACTGCCATAATACGTATAGTAAACATTTTTTGGAATGGCACTGAACTCTGGGACAACCTGTCCTTGCAAATTCAGTCTGCCATTAGGAATTACGAGCTTACGGACTCGATTCCATCCTTTTGGAACAGGTGGATGGGGCCAAGTGTTTACCTTCCACGAACCTTCTAATAAGACTAACCTGGTAATTGGCGTCCTTCGCTGCCTTAAGACGGTGTGATACTGAACCTAAATTTCAGACAAAGAGACACAAATCTAAAACAAGGTAACCATTTTGGATAGGTATTAACACCAATTGCAATGCCAATTACGTAGTTTGGGCATCGATACGTGTTTCTGTTGCACTTATTTCGTGATCTATTACTTCAACGTTTCTGGAACTCACACTGATATAAAGAATACCTGTTCCTTTAGCTTATTCGTACATTCTTTCTTGTCTAGGCTCTTTTCCATCATGTGTCCCCATGTTTAACTTTGATGGGTGTTATTTGTGCCACGGCATACTTCGGACAATCAGTATTAGTCTGGTAGAGTCTTGACCATTAGAAAATGTATTGCGTCGACTTTTGTGGCTCGGAACGGGACCTTGAGAGGTTTATTAATTGTCATTAAACTAGGATACTTGCGTCTAAAGTTTTGGTGGGACGTAAGGGGAGAGTAGGGTTAGGGAGGTCTGACCTTCCCAAAAATTATATACCTAAAAACTAGAAGTATGTTTTTTTCATGCAATTTCGAATTATCGATTACTTGCTCATCCCCAAAGGCCATATGACTTCTCTCAAATCATTTCATTCATTTCCAAATGGTAGAAGTGAGCGACATATGGGTGGCTATCGCGCACTGTCTTCCTGTTTCTGAACTGCAGGATTTAGCCATTGGGGACCGTCTGGCTCTCCCCAACGTTTCTCAAGGTCTGCTTATCTCGATTGCGCATCCATGAGGTGACGCTTGAACCTTTTGCCGCAAATACGGCACTGCCATGAGCATGAATGTTCATCACCACCTTTTTTCATGGGGTTTTCTTTTTCGAGGTCTCTTAAATGCGAATGAGTGGCTTTTTAATAATGTTGATGCCGACATCCAATTTTTTGCTTGGCTTGATTCTGCAAAGCGCGTGGTGACAGGAGCCCAATGATATATTTCCCACATAATAGGCAAACGTACAAATGCCTCCTGAATTTTCCTCAACGGAAAATGAGACCTTATTGAAAAGTATCTTTTTTCAAAACTCTATGGGGATTTGCCACCTCAAAGTCAAAGAGGTTGCTGACTTGGCCGAAGTGTTGCAAATAGCTTTAAATAGAATGTGGAATCGTTAGAGCAAGGCAAGCCATTGAGGTGATTGAGGTCGATTTCCAAGTGACGATCTTCCGAGCCTCATACTGACCGTCCCTAAGAGCTTCTTCGCGTTTTCGTGAACCGAAAACATAAAATTTCATACGTGCGTTTCCTTTCGCGATCACGACGGGATCAGACTGTCTCGAACGCTCCAGATCACGGCTTCGTAAGGCCTCACACGCTGAATACCTCGAAGCCGTTCGCACGCGCGCAACTGGGAGAAACAGCGGCTTGGATCTTCCGAGATGATCACGCGTGGAGGACGAGGACAAGACCGACACGAACCGAACACGAGATGGAGAAACATGTTTCGGAGGATTCACCCACGATGCAACTTCTCTCGATTCTGCCGTTTCTGGAAATTACGTCCTTCGTGACTTTTTTTTTTCTCAGTTGGGAGGCACTGATTAAGACCAAAGCCGCGAGCACTCCGAAGAACGTTTGACATATTTCTAGAACAAGCCATGCCAAGGCATGCGCATTCAGGTCTCGGCATAGTGCCCCAGAGCGAAACGTAAAGTGAGCTACATCGAGATCATACTTGTTTCAAAGTAATCTACAGAGTCGCCGAGTCGAATGCAGATTCCTACAAAACACAATCGTAACCGATGGGAAACGCCAATCTGCTTCCCTCTCGTGTGTTTCCTCTCTCTCCCCCTCCCCCGAGATCGAATGACGCAACACGGCTTCACCTGGCGCAGCTCTCCGTCACATGGGAATTCTTGCCTCAAATGGTTACGAAACAGAAGAAATTCACCATGTTGTCGGAACGGAGGAACGCTTCCTTCGGATTTCCTCACCGAGTTCGGGGCTATCATCGACACGAGAAACCGCATCATGAAAATAGGATCCGATGCTATTCCCACGGGTTCGGAAAACGCGGAAGAAGAGATGGATTGGACTCCTTCGCCCGTTGAGACATGCGAAGGAATTCAAATATGTCCACCTCCGTTCCTGCAATTTCAACCGGATTCCTCATTCCATGAATTTCTAATGGAAACTTATTGACTCTTTAGCTCATTCATACGTTCTTTCCATCCTGTGTCTCCATTTTCAACTTTGATGAGGTAGTGTTTTTTTCCTACCACGTGTGAAGAATGCGGTCTTCCACCCTTTTCGCCTCCGAGGCCTACCGGGAAGAACTCTTTGTTTCCCTAAAAACGACCCTGACACTTTCACGGTGATGAAAAGGGAAAAACATAACAAAGGAAGGGAAGGAGGAAATCTACTGTGTACTCCTCCTGAGGTGGTAAAAAAAAAAAAGAGTTGCAGGAATATATCATCCTTTCCTACTCGAATGTTTTCCATGCCTTTCTCTTCCCTTCATAATGAAGTGTTGTGATGAAATTATTGTCTATTGTTTTTAATAAAGTTAAGTATTTTACTTGGAAGAATCACGAGAATTTTCATCTCTCCAGAAATTCTGTCTGGCGGACCTGCCTTGACCCTCGAATCTGGAACGGGGCAGGTGACCGATTGATATCGATCACTGGTTACGTCACACGCACGGCATACGAGTTCGGAGTTTCTCTCCACACGAGAAACCAGATCACGAATGTAAGATCCGATGGACAACGCCGGTATCCCCTTTATGGAGAGAGACGGAACGAAGGAAACCCGGCGCACCCGCAAGAGTACACCTCTTGGAATGGAATCTTTCTACGTCTCCTTATCGACACGCGGGGCTCTGGAGCGTGTCTTCGGTTTCGACTCGATCCTGTGGACGACCGAGGATGATGATACGATGCATCAGAAATTCGTGGCATGCCGCTCTCTCGGAGAGGAGATCAAAGTCGACGGAATCCTGGGCATGGATTTTTTCCTGTACGAGTTCGGAGTTTCTCTCGACGCGAGAAACCTTGCCGTCTCGATGATGGGACGTCCACTTTGAAGGAGGACGTGAGGGCGGTTTACCTCCTTCGGTTCGGCGAATGAACACGGACGGATCGATGAGGAAAAAAGAGCCGAGGATTAAAAGACCCCAGAGTCACGCATCGGACGGCGGACACCGATCCCCTGCTTCGTGATTTCGTCGTTGTCGTCGCTTGAAATGGATAAAAATGAAAAAATAAAAAACCACCTTCGTGGATTTCATACGCGCGTTTCCTTTGATTCGGGCGAAGGGACCCTACGATATCGGCAGACCGTTTCGCATGCTTCTGATCGCGGCTTCGACGTATGCAGCGTGCAAGTCTCCTCGATCGCACGGCAAACTTTAACGCATTTCGGTGGTTGCTCCAAATTCACTGGATGGAGTGAAATCGGGAAGAGGAGGAATGCCAGGCATGCATCTCGGCGTAGTGACCGAGAGCGAGACGAACAGTGAGCTACATCGAGATCATACTCGTTTCAAAGTATTCTACAGAGTCGCCGAGTCGAATGCAGATTCCTCCAAAACACAATCGTAACCGATGGGAAACGCCAATCTGCTTCCCTCCCGTGTGTTTCCTCTCTCTCCCCCGAGATCGAATGACGCGACACGGCTTTTCAAAGCGCATCGGCCTTGCTGAAGAGGCATGAAGATCTAATTCCGATTATACATTGAGGGTACTGCTGATTTGGAAGTGGGCATTGAGACAGAGGACGGCACTTACTGTGGTCCACGACGAGTGATCCCTGCATGTTATGCGCACGTAAAGCCACACGATTCTATGACGTGTATTTCCATGATCCCGCGGTATGACACGCATCTGATGATCATACTCGGCTGATTCTTTTCAGATTCTGCTCATTCGGTGCTAACGCCGTCTCGTCCCACAACCCAGTCCGTGTGCGTGATTTCGTCATTAACTTTTATTCTTGTAATGGCAAACTGTAGATCACTAACTTCCTTGATGGTCTATTCCAAATGGCTCTTCCGTTGTTTCTATGGTAGTCGGTAACGTCGCTGCGAAGCCTATTTTTTTTTGGCTGATAAGAACAGGTTAATGATGTTTTAAGTCGAAATGAAACATCGACCAAATTATGGGACATTCCAACTAGTTCATCTCCAATGATGTTCAATGTTGTTGATGGTTTTTTCAGGAGGAGATTCATAACCTTCGCTGCGTGTGTGCACTTTTTGTCTCAGACTAAAAATAGGCCNCAAGGTGTGCGGCAAGGAAACGAAGGACGTCAAGAAGCACATCGTCAAGAACCACGAAGACGACCGAAGGAAGGCGGCTGAATTGGCAGCATTGTCCATCGTGGAACATCTTGTAAACTTTTTTTTTTCCACTTTTATTTAGTTACCTGGACATGTTTTGTGTCAACATCGACTGGCAGTGCGAATCAAGAACGTAACGTCACTAGCGATTATTGTGAAGAAGTAGAAGGTATCTAAACAGGCCAACAGTTAAAAATGACTCAGGTTCAAGTTCTTTCCCGATTTGAAAGATGAACGCAACATTGTCAGTTATGGGCAGCTATGTTAATTAACTGTTTTCAAGAAATTTGTCTGAAAGGATAAATTTACAAAATCTATCAGGAAATGTGTGGTTACCTTAGACATATGTCTACGACACCTTCATTTCGTCCAAAAGTCCAGGTGAATTGTTATATATTTTGACCAACATAATTTCATTCTGAGGAGCAACGAATATCGAAGTAACCATTGCTCGTAAAAATAGGTTAACCTATTGACTGCTTTGGACTAATTGCATTGACTGCTTTGGACTAACTCTGCTCAATTATATACCTCTGGTTGAAGTCAATTTTTTCCCTCATTAAACAGCAAAAGTTGGCCAATCAGTCCTCGCCCATCACTCCATGCAAATGCCAGTGCTTCGCTCAGAGAGAACGGCACGGAGCCGGGGAGAGAAGCGAGGACAACCAATGTCAAAGTAGTGGAGATCCTGGGCTGGATTACTTACAGGTAAACTCATTTGAAAGACTACCGACCAAAGAGTTGCTTTGTCTCCTGGGAGAAGTTTTTCCAAGATGAAGGAAGTGAATCAACATGCATTATGAGAAAATAATGATAAAGTAATATTTTTGCTCGTTAGAAAGTCAACTTTTTCAGAGAACTGACATCTGGCGCCTCATTTACTTTATTCGATGCTTTATTCTGTGTTCCATGAATTTTGAAAGAACTTTAAATATTGGAGGCATAAAATAAAACACGGCATCCATAACCGTATTTTAATTTGTGATTTCTTCATTGTGTTTCAGAAACGCCTGAGCCAAACTCACGATACCAAAAACATGAATACCATGTTGAAACTATTTCGAACCCTGTTGGACCAAATGCAAGTAAACCAGAGCCTCGAGTTATTCCAGCCGGCCACCCACGACCGGATACCAGACGCCATCCGGTCCCTGCTGGCCACGCGCTACAAGGCCGCCACCGTCGGGAAGCTCTGCGACGCCCTCGAGGCCTTCCGGGAGGCAGTCGCGGCGAGCCTGGCCCTGCAGCAAGAGATCCCGACCGCCGCTCTCGAGACGCTCCGGGCGCAGATCAAACACTGCCGGAAAATCAGCAGGAAAGGTGATTGTTTGCTT